CTCCCACAAATGTATTTCAGCTTTGTATTTAGCCGTTTGCATGGAGTTCAGATTTAAAGATGTTCTAAAAGCTCTTTAACACCTTGTGGACCTCGACTCCCCGGAAATGTAAGCAGGACATTGCCTACAGTTACAAGATTGGTATTAAGGAAGGACTCATAGAGTGACTTTGCATAGCAAACAAGCGGGCTCACGAAACATTTCCTAATGCATTCTGTTGGTTACAGGGGTGACCTGGTCAGTGAGTTGTTGTACTGCATAGAAAGACCTGAAAGACCAAAAATGGGATCTCTGTTCCTGACTTGCCTCACAGCAAGTCAGGAACAGAGATCCCATTTTTGTGAGGCAAGTCAGGAACAGAGATCCCATTTTTGGTGCCTGCTGCAGCCATCAGGTCTTTCTATGCAGTATAACAACTCACTGACCGATCTGGCATGGCCGATCTGCTGCACATTGTTTGCAGTGTGTCTGCCACCACCTCTCCGGCCCAAGCATCCCAGGTTTCTAAGAGCCAGGTGGGGGAGATGTGTGGGGAGGGAATGGATGATACAGAAGTCTGTGGATATCTCACCGCACACTTGACCGATTAAGGTTGCCAGCCTTAAGGTTTTTTTTTATTTTTTGATGGTTGCTGTATAGTAACTAGACGATGGTGCCACAGTAGGCAGACACAGAGTTACCAGCACACCATCAATCCTTCTACCAAATCGCCTATATTGACACTGGTTGTTCATCGTGTCCAGTGGTGTCTCTAGCCATTTTGCGGCCGGAGGCTATGGTACCCGTTGCCCTCTGCAGAAACACATTTTCAGAGCCTGCAGAGCCCAGCTCTAAGCAACCTGGGACACTCTGGCTGGCATCTCCCCAGCTCCTGGCAACCAGCGTTGTCACTGGTTGCCAGGAGCTGGGCAGGACACCAGGCAGAGCATCCAAGGTTGCTAAGAGCTGGGTGGGGAGATGTATATGGCCCTTACACATCTCCCCGCTCCGCTCTTAGCAACCTGGAACGCTCTGGCTGGCGTCTCACCCAGCTCCTGGCAACCAGTGACATCACTGGTTGCCAGGAGCTGGGCAGGACGCCGGCCAGAGCATCCCAGGTTGCCAAGAGCTGGGTGGGGAGATGTATATGTGCAAGAAACAGAAAAGAAGGGTCTGAAGCGCAACTGCCCTTGGGGTTGGACAGGTGAAAAAAATGTTTATGAAAAAATAATAATAATGAAAAAAATGAAAAAAATATTAAAAAATATAATAATAAAAAATGATAAAAGAATTAGAAATAAGGAGCTGGATGGACACGAGATTCTTCAGGAAGTGTGGTCATCGGCGATGGGGGTCCCTGTTGGAGGCAGTGTCCGGCGGTCTCCTCTGGGGTTGGGTGCAGGGTCTTCAAATGCAGAGCCGGGGTGCGATTCCGTCGGGTGCCTGTATGTAAAACCTGCTGCTGGCCTGCTGGGTTGAGAAATCTCCGGTGTGGGTCCGTCCCTCACGCTGTGCTGGCGGGGATCCTATGGGGAGATGTATATGGCCCTTCCACATCTCCCAAACTGGGATGCTCAGGCCCAAAAGGGGGCGGCAGGCATACGGCAAACATTGTGCAGCAGATCGGCCATGCCGTTCTGCCTGCCACCCCCTCATGTGACCCAAAGAGATGCCGCCTGAGGCAACAGACTCAGGCTGCCTCATTCAAGGGATGGACCTGATTATATCATAAAGAAAAGAGCAACATTTTGTGACCAAACAGGGTCCCTTCATCAGGCAAAGTACTCGCTGAACACCCATGACAACCCCGAAAATCTGTCAAATTCCGGGAGGCCAGGAAGATACAAAGTGGGGAAAAAGGAGATGAAAAAGTCACACAGTTTCAAAATAAATGCCTCCGACATAATAAAGTACCGGCAGGTTATAAAATACACAATTACAATTGTCAACTGTCTACATTATGACAGTCATTGAAAACAGCGCCGAGGAGGGTGTTGTACGTGAATCATGGACAAAGGACACAAACACGGTGTATCCGAGATCAGTGTAATAAACAGGTCCGGTTCTTGTTTCTGCTAAATACGATTATAAATTGTGGACCAGAAATGAGGATATACCGGAATATTTCTGTAATAAGACACAAGCTCCCAGACAAGTGCGACACCCGAGAGGGGTTACTAAAAGGGGACAAAAGCCGTCCCCGGGGGGGGCATTGTATGGCTCCCTTTTGTCTGCTTTGTACGCTCATCGGCCGAGCACTTCCTCCTTCATATCTATCATCAATAAGGAGGTAAGACGCACCTGTTCTGTGACCAATAAACTATAAACAGGAAAGAAAAAAACCGGACTAGTAAATTATATAAACAATGAAACCAGCGCGGAATAAGAGTGTGACCATAAGATGGATCGCCGGCCTCACTCCCCATCTGTCTAAGAATGCGCCCCTTCCTCGCAGTCACGTGATGCATCTTTGCCTATAAAAAGAAAAACGCTTCTCAGACACAATGTGGGACGCAAGGAGACAATCTACAGGTCAGTATGTGCAGTGACTTATAATATATATTAGCGTATTTAAACCCAAGAACAAAAGTATAATATATTGCAACTTACCCATCCTTAGGTGTGGCGGCTGCATTAGTTTTAACTTTTCCTGGCTTTTTTATCTTTAGAAAAGTCAGCCAGTAATGCACTTCCTGTCCTCGGGTGACAACGCTCACTCAGGCTTTTTTCCCCCTTAATTTTCACCTTGCGATCCCTGCCGGTAACACATTTCCACTGACGGGGTGACAACTATACAGTATCTATAGAGGAGCAACGTTGTCGCCCTGGGCTGCACTCCTAAATTCAACCTCAAACACCTTCCTCTCGTTTCATCTCCAGGAGGTGTTTTGAAGTTCACAGAAGATGGCTGGGAAAGCTGATAACAATGTTTGAGATTTCAGCATTGCTCACAGGAAGCTACAAGGACACAAGTTTTCCGGCAGGATCAACCGGGTATTTTTCAGCAAAATCACTTTAATACATCAAATGATTATTATATTTCCCTTTGTAACTATAACAGTAAATAATATAAACTGTAAGTAAATCATTGCGTCTCATAGTGGAAACTACAAGTGGCCATGCTGACACACATTTGCTCAGGCATGCTCCAACCAGAGGCAGATCCAGAGTCTAATCTGGGGAGGGGCCCCCCCGACTGAAGGAAGGGGGGCCCGGTAACCGACATTCACCAGGTGATCCTGCCGGTAACACACTTCCTGTCCTATAGTGTGACAACACTCACTACACTGTCAGGGCCGGATTTACTCTCTGTGGTACCCCAAGGCCAGGTTCCTTACCGTGCCCCCCTCCCCGCCAAATTTCCCCCCAGATGGCGGGGTGGCACGGTTGGTTTTCATTTTCAATTTTTTTTTCTTTATTTTTTAAAAACTTTTTTATCACTTGTACAGAACGAGCGGCGGCTTCCCCGGTCTACATTTAACCCCTGCTTGTCCAAAGCAGGGGTAAATGTAGAAAACAACTACCCGCCCGGCGCCCGGAACTGCATGTCCGGTCGTTGGGAGATAGGAATTCCACACCCCTGCCGCCCCTCTGCTCCCTACTTCCCTCGAGGCTGTGCCTTGTGTTGCGATTCCAGAGCATTAGAGGCCTCAGTTGGCCTTGTGGGAACTCCGGTCCTGTATACTGTACTATATCTATAGAGGAGCAGCATTATCACCCTAGGACAGGAAGCGTGTTAAGACTACAATACACTACCCCGTCTCCTCAATGCCATAAAAGAGGTGTTCTGCAGTCCACAGAGAACAATGCTATATGATAACGGTCATCACAAGCAGAGAGCACCGGAAGTTATCAGCTCACAAGGTTTCTGGCAGCATTTAGAGGGGGGGTTTTCGCATTCATAGAACATACACGGAGAGGCCGGATTATTATGACCACCCCATCAGTACTTCGTTGGGCCGCCTCGTGACTCCACGAGATGATGAAAGGTGATGCGAGGAATCTGACACGGCACTGTTGCCCTTCTGTTGTCTTGTACCAGTCTTGCCCCTCCCCCGTTCTGCCCTAACATTGACTAGTCGCTGACGGCCACAATTCGCACGTTCAGACCCAGATTTTCGGCTGACAGTCCGATCTTTAAACACTTTAACTACAGCCGCTCTTGAACATTTAACCAATTCTGCAGTTTTGCTGATACTCGCTCCATGGCTCCGAGCGCCAACAATCATCCCGCGTCCAAAGGCTGTTACATCGCGTTGTTTCCCCGTATCTTCAGAAACAAATCACTTCTACTGTCGTGGTAAACAACCCGCTTCCCTATTTATAATGGTCTGGCCCTCTAGCAACTTCAGCGTCAAATTATAGCTCATTTGCCTACAAACGTCAGGTGGTCATAATAATCTGGCCACTCAGTGTATATAAAAAATGCTTTAAATGGTATTTTTAAAGCAAAACAGGAAGAAGTAAAAAAGAAAAATTGCGAGCAGGATCTTTATTGCAGAACATGCCATGCCTCTTCTGCAATAATACAAACTTGCCTGCCGGTTCGCAATCTTCTTTAAAATGTATACAGAGCTGCGCATGCGGGATGAATGTACTTGCTCAGGAGTTATATTACTCTGGTCCGGCCAATCAAGATGTCCAAAGATCCGGAACCTGGAAAATGACATGGCGAAGACGTCGGTGTCAAGGGGGGAGAGGAGAGTATAGTTTAGCTTTAATAGACTAAAAAGGAAGCAAATAAGGAGACGATTGTAAGTGCTTACATACAGTTTAAATGCTGGCAGTACAGCAGAAGAAGATCATCGATATATCTGCAGAGCTCTCCACTCACAGCAATAATCCACATATTACAGCCACATCATATCCTCACACAGCAGGCTGACAGTCTCTGCATCACTCAGCTGGCATCATAATCTAGGCTGGCACAGGTAGCTGATCCTGGCAGTGCCACCCCTTCCTCCTCCTCTTGCTGTGCTGGTGAGCGTGTAAAGGTGACACCCAGCTACACCTCCAGGTAACCCACACCCTGCACTGACTGCTGCCACAGCTGGTTCCAACAGGTGAAGCTCCGGGATTCCCAGGAGCCTGCTATGGCAGGTAGGTGCCCTCTGATCTTCAGACTGGGGTGCTCTATTCTAAATTAGCAGCCATGTATTAGATTAACCCACTTTATACTGTATCAGTGTATTCTATGTAGGAGTAGAGCGGTGGTACCTGTACAGGTAGGCAGACCATAGCCAGGTAGAGATCAACCCCAAAAAAGTGCAAATAGAGGGGTGAGAGGAGCAGCTCCTTCTCCTGTATTGTCCAATCACAGGCTGGTAAGGAGGTGACCTAGCTGCATTGCATAACTGCAGCAGAGAAAAAGTCAGGTCACCAGCTTGGCTTTGCTGCCTTTTGATTCATTCCAAGCCAAAAAAAAAAAGGAAAATCCTGTGGGCCCCTGGGGTGCAGGAGCCATTGTGGATTCTGTGCCACAGCACCAGTCTGATTTCCTGACCACATACATGCATACAGAGCTCACCACCGGTCATGGGGTCAGCCCCAGCAATGACAGGGACAAAAAAAAAAGTAATACCCCCCCAATTACATCTATGCAATGCGGAAACCCGTGTGCTCCCACAATGATTTCTTATGGCACCCCAATGCACTTAGCTATCGAACGTGCATTGTAAAGCACCACAATGAATGATAACTTATTACCATGCAATATTATGAAACACCATTTAAAAAGAAATAAGTTATGCACTTGCAATTTAGGTGTGGTAGTCAGCCCATTCAAATGAATGGACTGCCCTACTGCAACGTATGGTTACTTGTGTAAAAACGCACTGCAAGCTACGTGCAATGTCACAATATGAATTCTAAATCTAATACTGTCCACTGCAGACCGTGGCTGGCACCAGGCAGGACAACCCCTCCCTAAGGTTACCTCATTCTGGGGATCTTTGTGCTTACATACCGATCTGGCCCTCCATACCAGGTGCCTCCCAAAAGGGTCAACTTCTAATATTCCATGTAGATGGCTTAAGACATTTGATCCATTACATGAGGTTACCCTTATTACTTGAATTGCATGGACATCCTTGTAAAAGTCAACTTTGTTCCAAGAAACAAGTTGGATTAAAATCAGCAGATGCAAGTATGCAATTATTTGTAATGTATATGATGTAATTACGGCATTGTGATGGGTCCTTTTTGCTTTAAGGAAAACATTTGAATGTCAAAGAACCCTGGACAGTTTTTTTTTATCTACATGCTGGCGCCTTGTATTCCCGTGCCAGAAATATCCCTTTATTTATCTTTTTTGGTGATTGCAATATTTGCAGAGGGGGTACAGGAATGCAAAAAAGTTCAACATCTCCTCGGACTTCCTATTTGTTTTCTGTTTTCCTCTAAAACAACAAGTCAGCAGCAGCAGCAGCTTCTTTCCTTCTCTTTGCAGAGTTTTCATTTAAAGGAAAGAGCATATGATATTTGCATATGTGTTCTGTTTATATAATGTTTTTGGCATAGGTGCCCAGCCAGCTCACTGGTTTCCAGTTCTGTTTAACCAGTGGAGAAACTTCTGTTCAGACGTCATTTCACTTTCCAGGTCCCCTGCAGCGATCAGAGACACCTCGTCAATAAAGTCGGGAGAATTTCCTTTGCACACTCATCTAAGTCTGACACAAATGAGGACAAACCTCCCGGTGATGCATGCGGAGGATTGTGTTAGGGTGGTTTGTATTGGAGGGTCCTGGTAAGAAAGGGGGATAGGGGCATTTTTTCTGTCCTGTCCAGTATAAAGAAAATGTCTTGGGATTTATAGTGCTGTGTCAGCTTCTGGTGCTCTAGGCCACCAGATGAAGGCTTCTTTTTAGAAGTAGGCTTATCCTCCGAGTTCCATGCTCCCCAGGCATTCAGGGCTCATAGACATGGGCGCAGAGGGACGCAATCAGCTGCAATTTTACACTCCGGAGTCACAGGTGTTGTGAGCGTATACATGCATACAGTTATGGATGCCCCTGGACGCAGGTGGTCTGGACTGGAATGTATTAAAACAGGTTTGTGTTGAACATCCAATATGTTTCAAGGTGGAACTCCGCCTCCTTTTCAAGGATACAGCCCAAAGTAAACAGCTTAAATCACACTGCTCCGTTCATAACCTGGAGCTGAAGGAAATGCCCAGTACTTCCAGGTATGGAGGAACATGTGATTCTGTCCATGTGACAATGCTGAGCCAGTCAAGGGAGTCCATAGCCCTGTAAGCCATGACTCGTACTTGGTGATTTGCACTTTCCTTTGCCTTTTGCTAAACCGCCGGCGCCGGAGAGAGTCAAGTTAGAAGGGAACCTGTTGCTTTGTGCTGCCTGGGCAAAGCACTGGATTACTTTAAAGCAGACATTGCAGTACAATGCAGTCTGCTTACCACCCCCTTTCCCCTGCAAGCATTGCGTCTCATATCTATTGTAAAAGTGTAAATTAAAAAGTTAGATTATATACTTACCTTCCCCCCTGTTTTCTGCCCATGCTCATACCTTCAAGAAGACTCTCCAGTGCAATGCGTCTTATCATAAGAGCTGGGCTGCCCTGCACGCCCCAGGATCTCACCAGAAGAAAGGGGATGTCACCCTCAGCATAGGCAGAAGACAAGGGTAAGGTAAGTATAGAATACATTTTATTCTTGGGAAGGGGGGGGGGTTGGACATTATAAGCCAACCTTGACTTTTACTACAAGGTCTGCATCAAATAATACTGGCAAATTACCAAAAGTCTACCCTATGCTAATTCCCCATAATCCTCTGCAAACCAGAAATCATCCAGAGAATCGGAGCTTGTGCATAGTGACTACATTGTATTACACAGTGCAGTCATCCAAACATGATTCAGGTACTGGGGGATGGATGTGGAGGTTGCATCGGCCGCTTACAGTAAAGCAGAACACGGCAAGAACCTTACCAATGCCGTAACACTCATTAAAAATCCAAATAAGCCAGGTAGAGGAAGCGGAGACGCAAGATAGACGCGCCATTCTCTGGCGGTGCAGTGTGGCTGGGGTGTGTCAGACACAAGAGTGGCTAAAAAGAATAACAAGTATTTTGGCAGCTAAAACTGTTCACATGTACACAATCCAACTGTGTATTTAGCTGCTTGGCTGGAGTTCCATTTTAATCAATTATGGTCCCAGGAAAGAACCTTGGCGTATGTTACTTATAGCCCTAGACCATTCCTTTTGGCTTCGTGTCTCCAGCTTAAAGCTGAACTCCGGAATCTACCTTTACAATGCTCCTGGATCCTCCCTCTCCCCAGGATCAGTCCATATCCCTAACTTGTTTCAAGGATAATTGCATGTATCAGTAGTGGTATGGTTGGCTGCAGGGAGGTGGGTCTGGTGCGGGGCCCCTTGTCACTTCGGAGCACACAGTATTGCATGTCCCATCGAGTGATGGTTTTTAGGCAGTGACAGGGGAGTGCTTTTCTCTCTGTCACCAATCCCTGGCTGCAAGACAAAGAAACACAGAGGGGTCCAAAAAAAAAGGATCTATCTATGTTATTATGTTGGCCCTGCACGAGTGAAGACTACAGGAGGCTGTTTCATGACCAGCACAAGGGAGAGAGCAGCAGCAGCCGGTCATATGGTGTGGAAAGGAGAGGCCAGGGGCTTGCTTTCAACCATGGCAATGGCTTTTTATCACGTCACAGGCAGCAATCTTACCTAAAAGAGACCGTGATCCACAGAATGGCTGTTGCACAGATAGAATTATGGGTTTGCCTGTTTGCCTGGAGCTCTGCTTTAAGAGAACCTGTCAAAACCTTTACGTATCATGTATTTAATCTCTGCTGATTCTTACGCACAAATTTACTAATAACACTGAACCCTCCACATCACTGCTTGTCCTTAGAGGAACCTTAATGTAACCTCCCTGCCAAGGTCATACCTACGCACACGGCAGGTAGAAGATAATTAAAGTGGAACCTCAGCCAAACGTCTGTTCCAAGTTTTGGATACAGCGCAGAAGTCTTAGAACCTCTGTCAGTTTTTCGGAGGCTTAGCCAACATTTTTTGGCGTCTCAACAATCCCCCTTCATCAGGGTGACAAAAGACACAGAAGTTGGGGATAATACATATTGATTGAAATACCAATAAACACACATAGAAACCACAACAAAAGATGGACGTTATGGAAATATGAATTGGTAAACAATTTCCAGGTTTGTAGTGCGGTCTGTGGCTCCATTGGGAATGTGTTTTTATTACGAGAGTGATTATTGGAGAAAACTCCTAAATATGGGTACAGTGAGAGTGCTAACCACTAAGCCACTGTGCGGCCCCCCCTTTTTTTTATATATATATATAGTGAATGATGAATAAAATGCACATTTTTATAAGAGGCGCACGGTGCAGGAACGTTACGCCTGGCTGGCCTTGGCTCAGTGTGAGCGAATGGTTCACATCACACTGCACCATATCAATCCACCCAGAGCCCCAGCAGCCCACTGACCAGTGCTGGGGCTGTACACTAAGGCATTTCTCTGCAGACTGTGAGTCCCCTCTGCTGAGCTGGCTGTGTGAAATGCAGACTCTGCAATATGGTGTGCTGCTGATGGGGGGTGCCAGCTGGATTTTTGGGGGTGCTATAGCCAGGGCCGGATTTCCCACAAGGCCAACCAAGGGAGTAGAGGGGCAGCAGGGGTGTGGGATTCCTATCTCCTGATGCCTGGGACATGCAGTTCCGGTGCGCCGGGCGGGTAGTTGTTTTCTACATTTAGTTCTGCTTTGGGCAAGCAGAGCTAAATGTACAGCGGGGAAGCCACCGCTTGGAGGGGGGTGTTGGCGGGTAGGGGGGGGCGCATTGAGGAACCTGGCCTTGGGGCAGCAGAGAGAGAGTAAATCCGGCCCTGGCTATAGCACAACCAAGCTCCCAGCTGCCACTGATAACAGATCTGGCGTATCACTTTAAACGTTCTGTTTGGACTTCTGCTGCCTCCTGGGTGAGTGTACAGTAACAATGTAACCGCACCTTCCTTTATGTCTCATCATTACAGTCCTTGTATTGTGAATTCCCGGTGCAGCTGGAGCACAAATGTCATTACAATGCCAGGAGGAAACCATA